AACATTTGCATATAACATTAGCGCGTAACAAAGTTGCGATAAAGGAAAGAGTGGTATAAACAAGGATCAGTGATTACTTGAAATCGATACCAGGAAGGGGGGTAAAAGAAAAGTTATATAACAATTTATTATTTAATAATTTATTAAAATACATAAGTTTGTCCAACTCCCTGTGGCAGGATGTACAGGAAATACAGTGTTGTATACACACATTTAAGTATTTGCTAACAGTGTACTAGGCGATTCGTAAGTTATTTCCCTGGTTGCGCTTCTCCGTGACGTGTACTCCGCTACTACCAATTCGACCCTTGCTTCATTCAAAATTGTCAAAGTTGTTTAGAAAAGTCATACAATTAATGTGTCCCGACATTGTAGGGTCAGCAGTTTCTAACTCGAAAACAAATGCAAACTAAACAAAATCCGGGACTACATTTCTTATCTCAATGTCTTCTGAAACATATTTGCAATTGTCAGTAATTCATATAAACCGTTAAGTAAACAATCTTTAAACATATGTGATACAGACAAGCTTTCAGAATATGTATAACTACAAACTGTTAAACCTTCAAGAGGTCATTTTATTTCACAGACGCGAGTTGGACAAATAAATATAACTAATCTAGATATTGGACAAATACATTACAAGTTTTACTTTTGAAAACGAATTCATTTTTTTTTTGGTGGGAAATGAATCTCAGTATACATTTATTATAAACACGAGCCAAAAGTAATAATAAATTTCAGAAATCTTTCAGTTCAATTCAATAGAGAACAGGTTTAGCTGTCCACATAACGTTGGAACGGTGTAATACTTAAACAGTTGCATCTCATCATTAAATTTAGATGATAAAATACTAGATACATTCCAGCATTCGGAGTACAGTATACGACATGATGGTGTCCTAATTAGTGCAACGGCTTCTTATAATCACGAACAATCCATTAAATTACTTAAATTAACTAATTTAGATCTTGAAACTTCATTTCGCCGTACATTTGTAATGCTGCATAATTAGTGCAGGATATATTTAATTACAATATAAGTAAATAAATAATTGGCTCCATTTCTTTGCCCCGCAACTCCTAACACAAATGTATTACAATTTTTGTTATTTGGTTTTAGAAGATAATAAATAAATAATATCAACGACAAAGTTTTTCACCTTCAAAAATATGTACTTCAATACTAATGACGTAGAATAAAAATAATATACCACCCCACAATAGTATGAGTATAGTATAGCTGTGTGACGTTTTCATTATTTGATGATTTACGATTGCCAATTAACCCCCCAACCTTAAATTACACTGCACTAAAGGGCGGTAGTCGCCGCGCCGCGCATGGGCGAGATACGAGTCTCATATAAACAAAAATGGCGATTTTAACTGTTGTGCAGACCAACTAGTACAAGCTGGGGGTTACCAAGCTTTAATTAGGTATTTTTTTGGTGTTTGGAAGGTATCAAATAAGTCGCCGGCGGTAATTCGTGCAAGTGGCGCCCAGGTCAAAACTTGTGATTTCGCGACGACTACCGCCATTCAACTACATGGCTAAACATAAATGTTCTGGTCCTGCGATGTTGAAAAAAAATGTGCGTTGAGTGCCAATTCAAATTGTGTAAAAATCCAATTGAAAGTTGGGGTCACTTACGTTTAGATTGAAAATATAACCCATCAAGATTTTTTTAAAAAAAGCTACACTAAACGAAGTTGTGCTCATAAAACAAATGAATTAGCAAAAAACAACAATTGTAGAACGTTGTTTCCTGTATGTGCAGGTCAGAGTTTGTAACGGACAACACTACGAACTATGTACACGTTCAACTGGCTGTGGCGACGCGCAACGGTTTTTCAGACGACGTTACCTCACCCATCTTTGCGACGCAATTATATCCTACAGATGAGGCAACTTTCGTAAATGCTCGAAACGTTTTCACATGTATTGCAATATGTAATATTGCTTTTAAACATTTCTGTTTATTTTCAGAATACATTGATCGCAAAATGGCAACTATTCTTCTCACTGTTACATTGGTGTGTATTACATTAGATTAATCTTACATTATATATACCATATTAAGAATAATCGAGATCGGTGTGTATCAGACATTTTGCTACGTTCACCAATATTATTATAATCGTTGTGGCCTCAAATTTGGCAGGCCCTGAGTTCAAATACTCCCAGGAACGTTTTGATCGGTTTCCCTGGTGAGTGTGCAATGAACTCATGCATAATACATTATAATAGATCATTATCATAGATTCGGTTGTGATTGAGTGTATAACATCTTGGGCGTGATCGTCACCGAAACCGCCAAATCACACGCGAAATTTTCCCACCAACAATTTGAATTTGACCTTCAAATTCGACGTGAATCATGCGGGATTGGTTTGTGATAAACATCCACTACTTCCTTCTAATGTAGATATGTAATACTCAACATCACTCGAGTCTAAGCGAATTTCCAACAAGGAATATTGTATTCTTCCTAAAGTTGTAAAGTTTTGTTGAGTATTTCCTGAATAGAATTCGATACCGCATTGCATGATCGAGTTTTAAGATGTCCAGATAAAAAAAAATCTGCCAGGTTCCGACGCATATAACTTGATTCATGGCTTCATTCACCACGAATGGTAAAAACTTTCGAGTCGATGTTAAGCCCAGATGCAAGGGCCTCAATTACATTTTTATTTTACTCTTAGGTATTATTGGCTGGGGTATTACGAAGTGATTCGACCGATCCTACCGAGATCCCGCGTGAGTATTGTTGTTAATATATCACAAACATAGTACTGCGAAGGAGTAAAAGAAATGTTTTTTGTCGTTTCAAGTTATTTTTTTAGTTTCCTGACATGTTCACAAAGCCTATATTATATATTTCATTTTTTAGATTAAAATGACCTCAGCGTCCATTGTGTAAGTTTGTAATCATTACATACGAAAGTAGAAAGGAAATTTACTACACGTGTTAAAAGATGATAATTTGTGTTTAACGAAATAAATGTGTTTGTGAAATTATTTTCTAATATTGAACGTATAACTAGTTGTTCCAGGGGCAACAGTGTAGAATTGTGGATAACCCTAATGTATAATATGACATAGGTTTGGACTTTGCGTTACGTCATTTCTGAACATTATCGTACGCGTGGAGCGAGACGGTTTCATATACCATTGTCACGGCCTTCTATGCTAAGCTGGTACACCAACCGTAATGCCATATTTGATTCTATTCGATTCTATGCTCGATAGTGTGTTTGTACTAATAAATCAGATAACATATATGATTATGTGACCTCATTAATATGCATAACTGTAATATCTCACACACTTTTGCAGAAAGAGACAGACAGCTAATGATATAATGATCGGACAACAGACATGACTAATTTATCTGGTATATGTATTCGTCATGACTTCACATTTTATGACATTTAACTAAAATACAGGATGATTTTTGTAGGTTTTTGTCCGAAACTGAACAAGTCTACAAGAGTTGGACCGGCCGGCAGCGAAATTTTTTCGGGTTACAAAGAAAAGGCATGTGCATGTTACACAGCATGCGAAAACACAGCTGAATGTCAGATGTGGGACTTCCACAAACAATCACATACATGTAAAATGTATGACCAAACCAGCACTTTGACATTCAACGGCGCACATCAATCTGGAATTAAAAGTGATAGTAAGTATTAGCATTCATTGGACGTTAGGCGCATGATAGTCTAAACTTTGTTGTTTCACATACAGTCAAAGGTATCTTGGAGATCCCCTCAATATAAAGACCACCTGTCCATTTTTAGGCAACCCAAAGGCATAACGTAAGAGCGTATTGTGTGTAAAGACCACAAGACCATCCTTATATGACAACTCATCCAGCAAATTTTGTCTGATTCGCCTTTATTTGCAGACTATTCTCGTAATCTATTCGCACATACACACATACAATATAACTATTTAGCGATGGTGTTATTATTATTATTATTATTATTATTATTATTATTATTATTATTATTATTATTATTATTATTATTATTATTATTATTATTATTATTATTATTATTATTATTATTATTATTATTATTATACATCTGTCACCGTAACGCCATAAGTTACAGTGTTTCGTAATTTAGCGGTATTTTACGGGGTATTTTCATTCTAACAATGGAAATGCGAATTTCAAATATAGAATGATTACGCGCGTAAGCGTCCTCTAATATTAAAAAACAAACATGGTTGCCATCAGGGTTTGACCGGACTCCACACAAAGAATTTTGCTGATTCTGTTCTAAACTTTTTCGAATTTAGCATTTCCATGATGTATCATTGGAAGGAAAAGATGTATAATAATAAGGTTATTACGAGGATACCTCAAAGTATGCACCCAGATAGTACGCCGTCGCATCGACCTCCGCTGCGCGGTCGATACTCCCGTTGTACTGTTTTCGTGCATACTTCCTTGTATCCTCGTAATAACCTCATTATTATTATTATTATTTTTATTCCAGCTTGCAATCGACTTGACATGTCTGATAGACCTGGATCGGATATAAATACAGTGGCACCATATACATATACCAATGAACCGTGCGATTGCGATGCCTTATGCGCACTAGATCCGACGTGTCTTTCTTGGTCATGGAGTAAGAAGAGCTTTGAATGTAAACTCAAGAACGGCGTGCCTGATTTGATAAAACCAGACAATACTCATGTGTCCCGTGTCATGTCAGTGCCCAGCTAAGTATCCAGCGAGAATATTTTGAATGATCGTATTTTCATTGAAAAATATTACATCATTAAATCTCTCTGTCAATAGTAACAGCATTTGTCATTGAGTTTAATTACATAATTTCTAATATACATTTTGTAAATATGCAGCATGAAAACAGGAAACACCACGTTACAGAGGGGGTGGTGTGAGGGCGTAAATTCCCGATGTCTTGTGGTCTTAGTTACATATACACTGGCTGCTTTCAAAATGAAGTACCAGGCAAGGTCAATATAATTTTCCCATACACAAAACATTCCTCTATTTCCACCATCAGTTGACACTGAACCCGACACTGACCTGTCAGAATCCATAACCCGCCTGCATTGCGACTACATGGCTAAAAATAACTCCACCATAACAATAACACACTGAGAGAAGCTTTCAGTCCAGCTGCCTTTAGGTTTGCTATCGGGAATTATGGCCAGTAACACACACTTGTCTGTCATTAATGCACGAAAATACCAACTGCAACGCGGTGATTGGCTACTTGCGCTGTCAACCACTTTGCCGGTGTATAATTTCTGTAACACCCCACACTTGGACTTTTGATTCCATGTGGAGAACTGTACTTTTGGCTAGTTGTTGAGACTCCCCTAAACAGTGTAACGAGTAAGCCCCTACTTGTGCAACATATGTAAATTTAGTTTTTCGGGTTCACCTCAAAGTTGAGTTTGTGCTATTTTCATGAGGTATTTGATCGGCGTTTCACAGCAGCTCGCACAGAACCATAATAATATAAGGTAGAGAGGTGCGCGTCTTAGCAACATAGATACCGTTCTATGACGTAGCTACACCCGGAATATTTGTCACAATGGCTGCAATAATGTTTTCCCACTCCTAAATATTGTACTACAAGAATGACGATAAATATATTGTTATATGTTGTTGTTGTTGTTATATAGAGGCGCGCCCTCCATCAATGGCGCATACTGTGACGTAAATAAGTTTTTTGTTGTTTTGTTTTTCATTTTGCGCAGTGACGCTTACCCAATGGGATAAGTATCAATCGCCATTTTGTTGTCAGTGGTTAGTTGATTACATACCCTGACCTGTCATATACTGGCTATTTCCACTAACGGAAACATTACAGCGTTCCTTATTCATTTGTATGTTTGTTTTCATTTTTTTTTTGTTTCTTTACTTGTATTTTATTACTCACATATTCTTGTGTTTAATGCTGGTTATGAAAAAATATTTTATGAAACCAAGAATCTGGCAATATTTTCCCGATTGTTCAATATAGCAATTTGTTCGATTCTGAACTTAAAATTCTCTTTTATGCCATAAACTATTTGGATTTCAATAATTTATCTTGTCTATCAAATTGTCAGCGTAACTAATTGGAATGGCGATTTTCTACTAATGTCGTTGCTTTATTATGTTTTGTAGGAGCTCTGAATAATAGTACGCTTCTGGGGTTAATATCTTCATTAGTAACACATCGTGTCAAGTTGAAAATCATGATCATATTCAGACTTGACGTCACCGACAAATTTAGACAAAACTGCAATTAATTAAATGCTATATATTCTCACCAGCCGTTTTAATTAGCTAAATACCACCTAGTACCTCTTCTCGACCAATTAGAATGCTTCATGTCCTGTTTCCGTGCCATACTCGTTTTTTCGAGTAAAAAATTATTGTTCTGATAAATTATCCTAGACTTTTTTTTTATAGATCACATGACATGAAATATAAAACACTGAAGAGGAAACTGGGCTTGAATTTAGTATTAACACAAAGAACAATGAGCACGGTGTCGTTCAATGCTTTTCCCAACAGGTCATCAGCAAATGTATAACTACAAATCTCAGAAGGATAATGGCAACGCTCACGCACACGCGTACTACATTGCGTGATAAATGGTCTTGTGCAGTACGTGCAATGTGAGAATAAGTCCCTCTTTTACAGTACGACATTTCATAGAGAATGTATGAAAGGACTCGCTGTATGTCTTTCAAAGGATAATTTGAATCGTTATATATGAGGTACAACCCCGTGTACGTTTTAATAGTTTGCATTACTCTACCGGGATATAAAGTCCAACACGAGATAAAATGTAACTTTTCAACTAACTTACTCTCTAATTTATACAGGGCGTTACTGCGAGTTGGGAAATCAACATTCCAGCTTACCAACTTGCCATCTTATACAGAGTCTTACCACGGTTGGAAACTCAATTTTTCAATTTACTGTCTTCCCAACGTGCACGTGAACTTTCCAACATACTAACCTTTCAACTCAGTTTACACAAAGCACTATTAAAGTTGGGACCTCAACTGTCCAACATGACAACTTCCTAAATTATACAAGCAGGAGTTGCGGATTTGCAAGTTACTAACTTATAGAATGTGCTACCATAATTAAAAGCTCAACTTTCTAACTTACTAACCTCTCAACTTATTGGAACGTATCAAAACTGGGCACTTACTTACACATTTCCCAACTTATACTGAGCCCCACACTAGTTGGGAACTCCCTTTTACGAATTACTGACTTTTCAACTTATACAAGGTATTGCTGAAGTTAATTTAATAATTTATAATTTCCTAATTTATACAAAGCCGCCACCAAAATTGAAGTGACAACTTTTCACTTACTAACCTTCCAAATTATAAATAGGCCCAGCCGAATTTGAGAAACTCAACTATCCAACTTACGATATTGTATACCTGTAGAATTGTTAAACCCCTCTTTCAAACCTCCTAGTTTCCCAACTTATACCCGGCCGAACCTGCCGACTTAAACTAACATTCCAGCTTATACAAGTCTCCACGATATTTGGAAAACTTTCAAGCCTACTAGCTTCCCAGCATATAGCGGACCCTACAAATGCTGGGAACCAATTTTCCAAACTTATACATATCAAGTTAGGAAATCAATATTTAAGTGCCCAACCAAATTGCGCGTCATGCTGTGGCCCAGTAAGAAGGCAAAAGCTAATTTGATTTCTAAATTTCTTATGTTTTGCATATTATTATCAGCTACATAGATTGAAAACCGCACGTATATGTGTGAATATACAGTTACCTAAGGTAACACATACATATCATATCATTACGTATAAATGTATATATAATCACGTCGATCAATGCACGCTTCAACAACGTGAACACACAAAAGGCTTATGCACCTAAAAGATCTAAACAAAAGTATTACAGATGCAAGCAACATCCAAGGCTCTAAACAAAGACCGTACATGCACTGTTAAATTAGACTTCCATGTGATTAAACATGTGTCCAAAAGATGATAATACTGATGGGATGAAAATTTGACACTTTCTGTGTGTATTCAAATAAAAATGGCGATCAAACCACTGACAACCGTTAAAGGGCAGTGGTTGTCGCGTTCTGTTTGACCCATTGCGACGTATACAATACGGGTAAAGTACGAAGTATGTTTACACGAAATTCAAACGCTCGCTGTGCGACGACCACCGCCCTTTAATGCACTTGAACTATGCAAATTACTTATCAGATCAACCTTTGAGCAAATGTAAAACATTTTATGCCATTTCTTTTTCATAAAAAATCAGTCAATAAACCACCCCTTTAAAAATGACAATATTCTAATCATTTTTAAATCGCGTCTATAAGTATAATACTT